TTTAAATCTAATACAACCATCCATAATTTGACAAAAAAAAATCCAAACTTTTACCCTTTTTTTAGATTAATTTAGCATAAATTCAATCAAAAACCATTTTGTGTTACATAATTCAAATTCCATACATAACTAATAAAATTCAATTGAATTTATTCATTGTGGGACGATAACTCATCTAATCAAATATATTACTTGTCAACGATACTGTATGCTTGCTGGATTTTAGTGAACAGTGGTCATTTGATACCAACTTGAGTTGTGAGAATAGTTACAATGAAGGATCATCCAATCTTTTCCACGGAGTAAGAACCTATTAAGCCTCCATTTGGCAAGCATTTTTTGAGTGTTATATAAATTCGGTTAAAATCAACGTTAATTTTAACCACAAATTTGTAACTATTACTCACTAGTATCCACACATTCTGTAAGACCCATCAGTATTTCTTTTTATATATCATTTATAAATTTTCCAAACGGGCAAAATCAGTATTCAATCCCATCCCGCGTAACTGTGTAATCAATCTCTGCCGTAGATTGCTTTTGCCACCACTGTTTTCTGAGAAATTGGTTTCTTAGCTGCACTTTTAATTCTCTGAAAATAAATAAATAAATAAAAATTGCCATTTCAAACGATAGGAACAACATCCTGCAATTGGTAATTCAGCAAATAGGATACCAGAGTGGGGTAAAAACAATCAAGTCTGAACTCTTCACAAGAATTATCTCTTTCTTTCAATCGGAAAAACAAAATAGCGCGTTATCTTTATTCTAGTGCTCATTTTTGTTCTGCTCTAAGAAAATCAAACAACATTTAGAATGATTGTACAGAAAAGCAACACAAGCTTGAACTAGTCGCCTTGAACTATAGCATTCAACATCTGAGAGTTGAAAGGCGAAGCTAAAGTCGAATAAATTCTAACTGGGCTAGATCACGAGAGGTACCTAAGTATATATAGCGGGTTGGTCTTTACCCAGTTCAACCTGGAAGCCTAGCATAATATATCTGTAATTTGACCTACACAAATTTATAGCTGATGTTTTCTTTTAAGCTAAACTGTTAAATAAATCCATATCAATATCGATGGAAAAAGAGAGGGGAATAGCTCCAGATACCATAGACTAGTCAGCCTTTTCTTATATCCAGTCTTCTTGAAACCATTTAAGGTGATGGGCCATGGAACTTACCTATTTATATCAATGAAATAGTGGTCCTACTCGGAACCAATCATGCATAGATATTTGGAGCATAATCTTCACCTTATAATACTTCGGATTTGCCCATTGGGTGCCGTGGCTGTGATGACATTTCTCAATCCTCTTACGAATTAATCCAAGTCAAGAAGTTAAGGTGTCGAAACTGGACCTCATATTAAGTCAATATGCGTTGATTTTTATTTTTATTTTTTGGCCTAACTATGAATTTTATTAAAGAAGAAAAACATAGAGAAAGAGAGACAGAACAAGAACCATGCAGATATCAAATAAATATTTGCCCTTACCTTTTGTCATGATGACGTAGGAGCGTATAATTTGTTAATGAACAAGAGAAAAATCAGAAAGCTTGAAATTGACTAAGAAGAGAAGAATTGAGGCCATTCTGGTTTTACGTTACATTGAATAAATCCCTCTATTTATAGAGTAATTAAACTAAAAGAAGTTGAAAAGGAAACAACATTCTAATAAACTGTAATCTAATTTAAGCAACATAACATATTTGGAATCAGACTCTACTTTTAAAACCATATTTAAACAATACTTGTATTTTTATCTTTATCCTTATCTTGATCTCCATCATTTCTTCTCGGTTGAGAGAACTCGATTTTGACAAGTTAGACTGGAAGTTCATTCTCTAAGGAGGTCGATTTTTTGTCTTGACCAAGTATCTGTATTGAATCTTGGACAACATCATCTTGCTAAACTCATAACAAGAAGGGCTTTCTTAAAAACCAAGTATCTTAATTGATCATGTGACGTCAATTGAATCTGCAAATCATTCCCTAGAATATGATGTGACCAAGGGTATGATTTCTCATTCTGACCAAATATCGATAA